TCAAAGTTGGATAGTTTAACTATTATGTGCCTTGGTGACTTCTTCTTGGGATTCAGTCTAGCTGGTGTTCTTTCAGCATACTAAATGGTTGCCTGGTTTTCATTCATTAAGCTGGGGAAGTTTTCCTCCAAGAATTCTCTTGCTATTTTTGCAGACGACTTCTTTGTTGTGTCTTCCTCCGGTAAGCCAATAATTATAATGTTGTTCTGCTTCATAGCATCAGACATAGCTCTTAAGTTTTCTTCAGCTTCTCTGATGATCGTATTAGATTTTTGTTCGTGTTTGCTAAACTCTGCTTGGCTGTCCTCCAAGTCACTGATGCAGTTCTCTGATTCCTCCAGTTGATTCTTGAGATCCATGTTTTTTGCTATTGGTTTTTGTTACCTCCTCTCTAAGCTCCTGTATTTCCTTTTGGTGTATGGCCTTTATCTCCTCTATTGTTTCATTCTTTTTCTGTATTGTTTCCCTCATATCCTGTATGGCTCCAAGCAGCTTTCTGAAAATTTCTTTCTGTGGCAGCTCAATGTCTGCTTCTTCTATGTATGTTGTTATGTTCTGGACATCTTCTGCCATTGCCTTTTGTTTCTCCTGTTTTTTCATTGAGGTCATTGGGGCTGATGGCTGTTTGTGTTGTGTTGTTTTAGAGGATCCAGGTGCCATTTTCCAGGGAATCAAAGAATACTGGCTCTCTCTGGGAGACTTGTAGGAATGTTTCTTCAAACTGCCTATAGCTAATTTTATTATGGAATTAACCTACCACTTTATCCTCCTGTGGCTTCCCTATCAGGGAAGTGACCCAGAAGGCTGGTGGGTTGCCTGCTTAGGGGTTGTGGAAGTTGGGCAGAGGTTCCTGCAACAGCTTGGAATGTTGATGAGTGTTGGCCCAGCTGTCTTGTGCCCTCAGGTACACAGGCAGGAATTCCCTGGTGAGAAGTTGGGCAGAGTATCCCCTGGAGGGGAAGCAGGGCTTTCCCTAGCCTTGGGCTAGCTGGGTGTGGTGCAGGTGTAAATGCCCTGGGCTAAGGGGAGTGGTCTGGAGGTCAGCAGTGGAGTGTGAGAGAACAGGAAAGAGACAAAGAGGAGAAAAAAAATTAAAAAGTAAGACCATTTAGACTGTGTGGGAATATAGGGAAGAGAGGGAAACAAAAGCAACTATGTAGCTGAGTCCCACTCCCCACCTGTGGAGCTGCAAGGGTTCAGTCCCTGCCCTGAGCTGAGAAAAAAAGCCCTTGGGCAGACCTCCAGTACTGTGGGGAGACAGAGAGCAGAGAAGGGAACAAAAGCAACAATGTAGCTGGACCCTGAGCCCTGCCCGGGGAGCTGCGAGGGTCTAGACCCTGCCCCCAGGCAGGGAGGCAGGTGGGGGCAAACTGAGGCTGTGTTGAGACCAAATCCCCCCAGAGGCTCCAAATGGTCCAGCTCCGGCAGAGACAGTGGCGGGGCCAAGGTCAAGCCCCAGCCAGCTTCCACTGAGGTAAGCCAAAAGCCCCCAGCCCCTCAAAACCCCGTGGGTCTGTGCCTACTTATCTTTATGATGCTCCTCCTGCGTTCCAGCAGCGCTGAATTTCCCTCTAAGCAACTCTGCTGGGCTGAATTCTGCGGAGTCCCTCTGGTATGTGTCACTCCGTCGCCATCTTCCCGGAAGTCCTCCAAACTACCGTTTCAAACACTGAAGCCACACGGTGTCATAAGACTCCCACACGGTGAGCAACTAGACTGGACTACGAACACTACTTGTCAATGGTTTGTTTCTGACTCACGGTAGTCCCACGCTTGCCAGAGATGTTGTTAGGTGCCATCAAGTTGGTTCTGATCCAAAGGGACCTTATGCACAACAGAATGAAACACAGCCCAGTCCTGCGCCCTCCTCACAGTTGTCCCTATGCGTGGGCCCCTTGTTGCGGCCACAGTGTCGATCCATCTCACTGAGGACCTTCCTCTTCCTCAGTGCCCCTCTACTTTACCAAGCATGGTGTCCTTCCCCAGGGCCTGGTCTTTCCTGCCAGAGTACAACTGTTCTATGGGGGGGGTGGGGGGGGGGGGGTGAGATGTTGATTGCCAGGCCTGTCTTTCAAGGTAGCTCTGGGTAGATCCAAACTATCAACCTTTCATTTAGCAGATGAGAGTTCAACCATGTTACTCTATCCAAGGACCGAGGAAGGCAGCATATGCACGTTTGTCACTGTTTCTTACTCGTGGGCCCATGATCCTTGATTAGTATGGCAGATTTGGTAAGTGCCATTTATTTATTGCTTTTAAACCTTATTTTGTCCTCCTTCCTAGGCACTAGAGTGTGTGGGAGTTAAAGGTGAGTTAAATGCTCTCTAAGTACAACATGGGCCCTGGGTCCCTGGATAGCCTGCTTCCTTATAGCCATGGATGGCCCTGTGACCGGTAAGCTCAGAGGGACCCCATGAAAGCCTCTTGCCCAAAGTCTGAGGCTCTGCCACAGTGCTGCCTTCACCGCCTCCTTCCTCGGTGACCGGGGTCATCCTCCAGGAGGATGTGTTCTGCAGTTTGGACATTCTAAGCTGTAGACAAGCCTTCCAAGGCCACACGCTACCGTGAGGGAGCATTGTGACAACTTTTCTCATATTCTAGTTTTGGTTTTTCTTTTGATTATTATTGTTTAAAGAAATGAGGGCAATGATACAGTTTTAGGAGTAATATAAATAGTAACCCATGGCTTCTTTGGCCAACCCTGCCAGATGTCCAAGCCAAATCACTTTATGTCTACATTTTCAGTCTAGTGAAAATCCCATGGACGTTTTAGTAGGGCAAGTGAGTTAAATTCGGTCGAATGAGAGTTTGGGAGGCGGACAGATTCTGCTTTGAACATGCTATGTGTCCTTTTAACTCATGACAAAAGAAGTGATGTTTGAAAGAAAGGAGGAAAGATGATGAAGGTCCTTACAGTGAGCAGGTTTCAAGCTTTCCCCGGGGTTCTCTTCAATTTTCAATTCTGGGATTTTTACCATCCAGTTGGAAAATGCTGGAAACAGCTGTTCACAACACTGACCACAGCAAACTGGGCAGGCGCTGGGTTGAATGAGGAAATCCAAGCAGGAAAGGGAGTTAGTGGTAGCTGGGTGTTTCCACCAATTAATAATAATAACAATATTTTAAAAATTACTTAATCAGTAACCAGTTCACACAAGGTTGAGGCATCCTGAGGACATAAATAGGTGGCTTTGCCTTCCAGGAACTTGGAATGAAGTTTCACATGATACCTAAGGATCAAAAACATTAAGAGAAGGGAGAGACTGCTGGGCATGAAGGGGTAAGGGGCTAGCATGTCCACTGACCATGGAACCCTGACACACCAGCACTCAAACGGGGCACTCACCAAGTGGCAGCAGGCACCAAACGAGTCCCTTACGGAATGCCTCTTTATATGGTGAGTGTTTCACTGCTATAAACGTGTGAGCAAAACCAGGCTCGCAGTAAGCAGGGAAGATGGCTAAAGCTTCAGTGTTATTAAAGGGCAGTTTCAAACCCAGACACATCTAACTCGAAGGCCTGTGGGCAAAGTCACAGAATGTCAGTAGATGATGCTTGGTTCGGGCCAGGCTTCAGGTCCGAGAAATCCCTGGATGATCCCGAGGGTAAGGCACTCAGCTCTTAGCCAAAAGGTGGGAGGTTTGAGTCTACCCAGAGGTGCTTGGGAAGGAAGGCATGGTGATTTGCTTAAAAAAAATAAAAATCAGCCAGTAAAAACCATACGGACACAGTTCTCTGATACATGGGGGTGGGGTGGGGTGGTGGTGGCCGTCAATGTGAGTACCCTTAATGATGCTGAATGAGTACCAGGCCCAGTGATCAATACCAACAGTACCAATAGGACCTGTCCTGATTGGTCTAAAACAGTGGCACACAATGGAGAGCTTGTTCACAAATGCGGTGACACCCACATCTTTAGAATGCATATGCGAGTATCCATGCGTCTCTCTGTGTGCTAGAAATGGAGGACGGGAAGCAGCTATGAACTGACATAACTCCGTAACTCCTGGACAAACCTCTTCCCAACATTTGACCAATGTGAGTGGTGGCTGCTGGCCTCACTTGGTCTCCCAGACCGGAAGTTGCCATTCTGAGAAGTGCATATTCCAGGATGTGCATCCTCCTTCCTCCTCTCCCAGGGGCAGACTGGTCACCCACCTGACCCCAGACAAGAGGCAGTGATCCCTGAGAAGGCCTGTGAGCCCGCGCGTCCAGGAGACTCGTCTTCGGCGATGCTATGATCCTCTCCTAAGCACCACCAGCCAGGCTATGGTTTGAAAGGTCCCAGGCAGCATCTGATCTCAAGCTTAAACACGGAGCTCAATGGTCTGTGGGATGAGCAACATCTTCCAGGTCTACCTGCAGCTCTGCAGAACTGTGTGGCACCAAGGACAGCTTTCACAACAGACTGTAATAAGCACAAGGAGCACTGGTGGCACAATGGCTAAGCAATTGGCTGCGAAGCAAAAAGTCAGTAGTTCAAATCCACTATTGGCTTTTTGGGAGAAAAGAACTGGTGATCTACACCCATGTAGATTAGCCTAGAAAACCCTGTAGGGCAGGCCTACTCTGTCCTGTAGGATCACAGTGAGTTGGAATCGACTCAGGCACACAATCACAACATAACAAGGGCTGCTAATGGTGGACAGGACCTTAGAACTTCTGCATTGTCAGCCAGAGCTATGCAGTGGGGACCAGGGCCTGACAAGGAATGTCCACAAGCAGATGCTGGCTTGAATACAGACTAAATGTATGTTTGTTTAGCACTTTGGGGGGAAAAAACAAACTAGGAGTTTAGATGTCATTGTTGGGTGAGTGCTAGACTGCTAACTGCAAGGTCAGTGGTTCAAAACCACTAGCTGCTCCCTCGGAAAAGACTGAGGCTAGCTGCTCCTGTAAAGATGTATAGCCTCGGAAGCCTGATATCGGGGCGCCGTAAGTGGTAGATGACAGTGGGTTTGCTTTTTGTTTTTGCTACTATAAATTAGGACTATTCGCAATGAGACCGAAACAAAGTATATTTATTAGAAATGTTACAGTCATACACTGTATACTTACATGTTAAAATTTAAATACATCTATGTTAGCATGTCATATCCTGACAATGCTTCATACAATCTAGTATATTCTTTATAGAAACAGAGAAATGAGGCCAAGGATGTCACTGATTGCATTCAACTAATGTAGCTAAAATCAGTGCGCTACTCAGGATGTGACACAGTTAGCAAATTCTAACAGGTCAGAGAAGGGATTCATCAGTGAACTTGGGCAAGTGTTGCTATTAAAAATACTTTTAAGACAGGTGGCTGGCTTATAATCGTTACTGCATGCTGTTGGGAGTGTATCTCAAAAATGGCACTGGAGCTTTGGAATGATCAGAACTAGTCCTGGATTTGGCAACGGGATTTATATTTTAAGAAGCTGAGGCCTCTGTCCTCATTCTCCAGGGAAAGGCTGCCCTCCCCTCAAGAGGCTCGGGGAAGAGAGTGAGAGAAAGCTTTGCTGGAGAAAGGAAGAGACGCTGACGGTAGCCATCACTGCTAGACGGAGAATCACTTTGGAAGGCATGTTTTGTCTGACACCTCATGGCACTTGGCAGGGTTCCTGCAAACGCTAAGAAACAACAATGAACGGAGAACGAAAGCAAAAGACTCAAGTCGATCCTGAAGCGAGAAGAGTGGGGACCGGCCCGGTTGTGCAGAAAGTCATCCCGGCGGGGCAGGAGCCACCATCAACTGAAATTCAAGTCTCTGAGACCACCCAACAGCCCAGAGAGCGCCAGCCTCCTCTCTCTTAGAGAAAGCCCTCCACTCTCCTGGGTCTGGAATTTCACAGTTTTGGTATAAGAAGTATCAAGAAAGGGGAAAACAAAAAGGCTTTGTAACACTCCATGGATGTTAAATGAAGATTTGGCCATTTAAAGGCTGAAGAAGGTGGGGTGAAAAAAGGATGCAATGCAGTGTGAGTGCAAGAAGCAAGAAGATGATCCCTTGTTTTTTCAGTTTGTCAACTTGTCCCTTTTGCCGTGTGCCCTGAATGACGCCGCGGTGGCACTGTGGGTAAGTGCGTGGCTGCTGCTCAAAGGGACAAAAACAAATGAGACTGTCTGCTTCTCGAACGCCGGCAGCCTTAGGAGCCCTATGGAGCAGTTCGACTCTGTCCTACGGGGCCGCGCTGAGTCAGAACTAATTTGAAAACACTGGGGTTTGGGGCTCTTGAGTTCTCTAATTGAGAACTAGATCTAAAATACTTATCCAGTGTGGCCTAACCTGGGCTGGGAAAGGGCCTGACCAAAAAGCCGACTTCCAATGTGGCTCCTCTGCGGCCCCGCACCTCCACACACCAGCAGGCCACTTCTCCCTGCAAGAGAGCTGCTAGCTCTGCTGCACAGAGCTGCTGGGCTGGCAGGCCTGATCCTTCACCCAGCTAGGACCCATCTCTCTCTCCAGACCCCAAAAGGGTGTCTGCCCTGCAACACTGCCTGGTGGTCCTGCTTCTGAGCAGAGAGCACAGGTTTCCTCCCCTAGAAGCATGCTCACTGACAAGGACAATGACCACACTGCTTCCTCGTGTTAGGAGAGAGATAGAACAGCCTTTCTTCCATGTGGTGTCTCCCTCCTTTTCAACCCTAAGGTGGCACGACACACACAAGAACGGGTGAAGGGCCACCACCAGCAATGTGGTCTTGGGCAGGGTGCCTGGCATACCCATCACTCTTGTCCCAGAGCTCTTTGAAAACCATCACCCAAAACACCTGCACAAGCCCCAGGTAAGTACAACAATAAACAGCTTGGGATGCTACCACTTCCACCTGCACTCAAAGTGTGCCAAGCAGAACCAGTGAGAGGATGCAAACACATCAGGCAAGCCAACAGAAGGCAGATGCACAAAGCATCCAATGAAATCACTTTCATTTGATTGCCTTTCCCAGGAAGGGACCGGTTTGTCCATTTAAGCACAAAGGGGCTAGTGAGGAATGAGCCCTGCTCAGAATGTCCACAGCTATGGATGAGAGGGCCTCTCCCCCCAGAGGCTCTCTGTGGAGCCATGCAATGCAAACACTCGGGAGTTTTTAAATGTGCAGAAGGCATCCTGGGCCCCGCTCCAGACACTCTGAGTCACCAGTTAACTGGCTGTTTTTCACAAAACTCCCTGGGAGATTCTGATACAGAGCCAGGGCTGAGACCCACCGGCAGGGTGGGGAGGCAGAGCATCTCTCCTCAGGTTGTCAGACAGCTTAAGACTAAGGGTTGGCCCCACCTGCAGAGCCCAGACACCCAAATTGCTGGTGTGGAGTATGGGGGTCAGACTCCTCTGGGAATTCATTCCTCTCCCAGCGTGGTGGCTGAACCCACAGTCTCTACTCAAGGGGTGCAGCAATCACAGATTTCCTGTAAGCATCAGTGGTAGGACTGCAATTCCCAGTGGCTTGCAGACTGTGGGATGATCTTTACCTGGAGCAGCAGACATGGGGATCTGATGTACCGGCGAGCTGCGCCCTCCGCATCTCTGCCACGTACAGACAATGGCCTCGTTGTTGTTGCTTTTTAATCATCACCGCCCAACCCAATGGCCACCTTTTGGCCCAGGAAAGAATAATGGGCCTGATGAAGTTCTTCCAGCTAAGGAAGTTCAGAGTAGAAATAAAGGAAAAATATATTTATTACCTCCCGGGTCTCTCATGAAATACACACTCTCAACCAACGCACAAAGTCCTGACATGTTGCACCCACACAGGCTTTCTCTCCAGGCCCCACGCCAGCCAGACTGGGTGAAGGCAAACGGGAGTCTGACTAAGTGGAGGGCGACAGGCAACGAGTGGATGACCCCTGCAGTCTCCTTTCGGCCTGCAAATCTCTCACTGAGCCAGGCCAGGGGACGGGCCAGATGGGGTGTGTGGGTGACACAGCTGACTGGGCCCACTAACACAACCCGCAACTTCTCATCCATGGGACCTCACGGCGGACACAGAGACAATTTCCACAGAAGTTCATGAGCACCTCACCTATTGTACTTTTCACCCAAATAATCAAACAAGGGACTGTCAGATCTAAAAATCTGCATCATGTTCTAAGCATTCAACATGATGACTTAGAACGTGAGCATATTTCTCCAAAGGGCCTATATTGTTCTTGCTCGTTTGTGTGTCTCTTGGTTGCTCAAGGGCAAATGTTTTTGTTTGTTTGTTTTTGGTGATGGGAAGGGAGAGTGGTGACACGGGCCAAGTTTCTGTAACGGCAAAAGCTAAGCTCTTGAATTAAAGCAGGTCCCTGATTAGAAAGACCGCAGTTGGTTGTGCAAGGATGGCAGTCTCAGAATCCCTAAGCAGACCCTGAGTTAAGTCACATGTGACGTGAGATGTTGCACTGGTTCTTGTGGAAACGAGCCTGCGTGTGGGATCTTGGAGCTGGAGGGACCCCTGGCTCTCTAGAAACATCCCACGGGGGAGAGAAGCTTCTCCAACTCATACACCGAAGCGCACCCTGACAAGCGTGGTACGTGATGACCTCGCCGTTCACTTTGGGGTTGCTCAGAGTCCCCAAAGAGGCTTCCTTTGACAGCTTTGCAGGTGGGGAGGTAGACAGGTAGAAGCTGTGGAGAGTGGCTGATGCTTCCCAGGGGCAGACGTTCTCAGGCTCTCAGGGTTCACGTTTCAAAATACTTGTAGATCTGGGCTACATACTGCATCACGCTTTGCCAGTCTGGCCGGTCGGTGTACAGCATCTCACTGAGCTCCTGCAGGGAGGGACAAGGTTACAAGAGAGAACAAGTTGCAGTAGGCG